TAACTAGACATACTTGTATATTTCAGTCGTACACGTATACATATACATACGCATACGTACGTACATACATACATACATACATACATAAATACATACATACATACATACATACATACATACATACACGCAGACATACACGCAGACATACACGCAGACATACATGCATGCCATGCATGCATGCATACATACACACATAACTACATGCATCCTCCCCTCCCCTCCCCTTTCCCTTCCCTTCCCTCTCCTCCCCTCCCCTGCCCTCCCCTCTCTCCCCAACTTTGGCCGAAGACGAAAACCCTGAGGAGTTTTCCCACGAAGCTTCTACGAACGACGAAAAGCTTAAGTCGGAAACCCAGCACGAAGCTTCGTAGAAGACGACACCCCTAAGGAGTAAATCTCGCAGGAACCTATGGCCGAAGAGTAAACCCAGCAGGAACCCTTGGCCGAAGACTAAAACCCTAAGGAGTAAGCCCAGCACGAAGCTTCTACGAAAGACGAAAAACTTTAAGGAGTAAAGCCCGCAGCTTACAGCCGTTTTTTTGGATTTTGGACTAGGCTGTGGTGCTTTCTTTAAAGGTTTAGGGCTTTCTATTTGCATATTGCATAGGGTTCTGGCATTGCCCTAAGACCATAACTCTAAGGAGCAAACCCCGCAGGAACCTTCGGCCGAAGACGACAACCCTAAGGGCCGGAGACGAAAACTTTGAGGAATAAACCCAGCAGGAACCTTTGGCCGAAGACGAAAACCCTAAGGAGTAAACCCAGCAGGAACTTTGGGCCCCAGCATGGCAGGCTCCGAAATAAAGCCAGAAAAAGTCATAGAAAAGATGCGTGTTTTGCTACCTTCTGCAGAGATTCGTTGTTTTTTCATGTACGACGAAAAAAGTTACAACTAAGATGTTTTGTGGAAAATGCAGGCAAGTCACATCTAAGAAAATACAAGTTACAACTAAGCGTTCTACGTTCTGCATGTATGCATGTTCTATCCCCGGTTTCCGGGCTGGGGTCTGCTGCTGGTGCCTCAAGAATTTCAATAGGTTTTGCGGTCTTTTTTGGGGGGGATATGCCATTGGTGCTAAAATTAGGGGAGGGTATTTCTAGTCGGCGAAGTGCATGATTCACAATGCGTCAGGTCTTCTATGATCAGCCTTTCGATTTACAGTTCCCGACAGAACTTCAGTGGAGAAGCAGGTTTCGGGGCTTCGGGTACCTGTATACACATCCTGAACCCTAAACCCTAAACCCTAAAGCCTAAAACCCTAAACCCTAACCGCCCAGGTGCCTACTATATAGGGTACTAGAGCCCCTATGGCCCTATATAGTAGGTACCTGGAGGGTTAGCGGAAGTTAGGTCTTCTACGACTTGGCCACCTTTGAGCTCTCGGCCGCGGGATGTCGGAAAGCCAGCGACCAGGAGTTTATCTACGCCGCCATCGAGAAGTGGTACGGTAGCTCGACGGTTAGGGTTTTAGGGTTTTGGGTCTTCGGGTGTTTGGGTTTAGGGTTTAGGGTTTAGGGTTTAGGCTAAGGGTATACCTCGACAATTAAGGCTTTAGGTCTTTAGGGTTCAGGGCTTGGGTGTCAATGCCAATGGAAGGCTAATCAGTGTGTAAGAAATGTGGAAGATGCCCAGACCTTCCAGTATCCCCTAGTTAAGATATGTTCTTTCAATGATATCAGGGATCCCATTATAATTTACGGTGTGTTCCGCAATTAAGGGATATTGGAAGGTGTGGGTGCTGCCATTCCGTTCTCAATCCGTTCAGTCTGAACCTATCGTCAGCCATGCTTCGGGCTAATAGAAGGGTTCAGTTAGGGCTGTAGGGTTTTGGGGTTCACGGTTGCGGGGTATAGGGCTCAGGGTTTCGGATTTAGGGTCGAGGGCTTTAGGGGGATAGGGTTTCAGGGTTTAGGGTTTGGGTCTGGGTTCTTGCTAAGGAACTTAGCTTAAGAACCCTAAACCCTCAACCACAGTCAGGGGATTATTTTTTTAACTCTAGATCCTTCCTATAGTCTCCATTGTAGTTCCTTTTTGGGGTTACCTTTTGGGAGCCTTAATGTAGAATTGGTTGAACCAAAAAAAGGAACTACAATGGAGACTATAGGTTATTCTGGTATCTTGAATTAACTTCCCTGCTCGGTACCTCAGGTTGATGGGTTTGGACTCGTGGGGTTCCGGGTTTAGGGCTTAGGGGTTCAGGGTTTAGGGGTTCAGGGTTTAGGGCTTAGGGGTTCAGGGTTTAGGGTTTAGGGTTTACGGTTTAGGGCTCAGGGCTTACAGGGTTTATTTGCATATGATCAGGACGTCCAAGAAGGGGAGCCTGCAGTCCAAGCAGGCTAGACGCCTTCACGGCTCTGTCTTTGAGTAGATCAGGATTTTAGGGTTTAGGGTTTAGGGTTGGTGTTTTTTTGAGAGTTGCCAGAGGCAGTCTGGACGCCTTCACGGCCCATGTTCGGGGGCCTCTTCGTGACGAACTGCTGGCGGAGCACTTGAGCACTGGCCTTCCGTGGCACTACGCTCTGCTGATCGCGACCCCATTGATTACGCTAGGCAGGGCGCCGCAATGAAAATGCTTTGCTTTGAGGTTAAGTAAGGATTTTGCACGTAGCCAGGTGCTTCGATCAGGGAATGCTCCGCCGCTATCCGTGTCGGCCTACTCAGAAACAACCCTCAATCAAGCCGTGTGGAGACGTGTGCAAATCAGTTTGTAGCCCTCAAGCCTAACACAGGCTGCAGCCGGAAAAGCGCTGAACATCTTACCCTGCCTGTACTGGTAGTCAAACTGCTTAGTTACGGAAGAAACGCATGTATGTAAATATAAATATGAATAAATACATAAATAAATAAAAATATAAATATATATATATATATATACACACATAGAGAGAGAGAGAGAGAGAGAGAGATATATATATATATAAAACATACACGGAATTTATAATCAGGAGCCAGGAAACCGTAGGCTTGATAGGCTGATGGGCTACATGTAACATTGTGTAAGCCCTCAACCAGGAATGGACGCTTGGGCAGTTAGGGTTTAGGGTTTAGGGTTTAGGGTTTAGGGTTTAGGGTTCCCTCAACCAGGAATGGACGCTTGGGCAGCACAAGTAAGAGCAGGGGCTCCCATTCACAATTTGGTGTCCTACGGCACTGGCGTGAGCCTTGGGCTCTTTGGTTTCTGGTGGATCATCGGCGTGCAGCCGCCTGACTGACTGCTTCAAGCCCTGAGCCCTGAATCCAATGTTAAACCCCCAGAACCCTAAACCCTAAACCCTAAACACTAAACCCTGAACCCTAAACCCTAACCCTAAATTCTAGGCCCGTAACTCCTGTAAGGTTTAAACCAGTGGCAGCCTCTGGCCTTGTTAGGTTACTAGAGCCCTACCAGGACTACGAGGGTTTTAGGCATAGGGACTGGGGATATGAGGCCTCTAGGGCTTTGGCATTCTAGAGATTCTCGAATTCTGCGGGTTTTGAAAAAAGTTCCAGCTTTTCGACAAATATTGGACTCCGGCTCCAAAAGGGATTCCAGAGAGTGAGGGGCCGCAGACCCTCGATCCTAAAAACTCTGCCCGCCACGACAGAACCCCTCCTCCCCTACGAAACATCGAATCTCTGCAGCCTGGAACCCGACCATGCCAGATTTGAGGCTTAAAGGGTTTAGGGTTTAGAGCATAGCGTGTAGGTTCTAGGGGTATTTAGGCTCTAGAGTTGAAGGGTGTCGGTGTACCTCAGGTGTTCTTGCTAGTATCTTGGGTACCCCAAAGCCGTATTCTTAATTGTTGGGCTCCTATACTACGTCCCCACTGCTGCTGAGAATATCCTCAGGCACAAGGTTCGACCCAGTACTTGTGATCCCGGGTGTTGGTTTCCCATGCTGCGATCACGACACAGAGCTGTTAATTCAGGTTCGCAGTGCTTCTGGCCGGCCGTTTCCCACTGCCAAAAAACAGCGTCTACGGACTGGCTCAGTCTCTTGGTCCTCACCCTAAACCCAAATTTCTACACCCTAAACCCCTAAACCCCTATCCCTAAACCCCTAAACCCTCAATCCTAAACCCTAAATCCAGGGTTTCGGTGTCTTGTTCGGTGCTTGAGGTCCGGGGATGTGGAGTGCCGGGTTCCTGAAGTCTTGCTTACACAGGGGGTCCATATACACTACCATTACGGAGTTAGGGGCCAAAAGACCATCCCCATGAAGGCTTTGGGGACTTAATTCCCTACTGGTAGTATATGTGGACCCTCTTGTTTAAGTGCTGTTGGAAGGACACCCCCGGCAGGACGCGCCGAAGCCCAGGTTCTGTCAGTCTTGCACTCCAACACCGAAAGTGTAGAAATGTGCACATTTCCAGGACCCGGCACTTATGGTCCTGAATAGTGGATAGCTGGGGTAGAATAGAGGGTAGAAAGGGGTCCAGGCTGGTGAGATCACCGGACCACTGAGGTCTGTGGTGCTCTACTCCGTCTACATGGCGTTCAACTTCTCCGGAGTCTACATAGGACGTTGGGCATACAAAGAGAGTGTTGCTGCATCACTCACATGGTGTGCTGCAGCTGGCATGCTGGCTTGGCTAGCCAGCGGTGGGCTGAAGGTCTGTCAGTCAGCCTTTCGCCGTCATTGACCGCTGCGGTTTTAGAGACGACGCAACATGAAAGCACATTCCTCAAAACGAGGTGTCGCTCCAGACTAGCTTGAATCCAGCGCCCCCGAAGAATCTAGTTTTGAATGCCTCTCTCGTGAATTTTTCTCACAGCTCGAGAAGGCGCCTGCGCTTGTAGGCTTACGCCGGCGTCAGCGGTTGAGTGCTTGCAGACCTGTACAGCCGTTGCGTGATGAGGAAGGAGCCCCACACAATCGCAATCAAAGGGCTGTTGTTTCATCCCTTCGGTCAGACTTTGGGGAGTGTTTTCTTTTTTTACGTTTGTGTATTTCGTTTTGTAAGATGCTAGCCAAAAGGCAGGTCATCCTCCATCTCAGGCTCCTGCCGTGCCCTAGCTAGGGCCCTAGAATTTGTTTGGGTGTTTCAGTTTGAGATTAGGGGTCATAGGGTCGTAGGGGTCGTTATGGTCTGTGGAGATTGTGATGGGGTGTCCCGAGTGGACGAAGTTCCGAATCTCGTTGGATGGTTGGCACACCTCAACATCTTTTGCAGCAGAACTGGCTGAAGAGCCTCTAATCCAAGAGGGCCCATACATACTACAAGTATGGAGTTAGGTCCCCCAAAGCCATAAGAGGGATGGTCTTCTGGGACCGAATTCCATAATTCCATAATGGTAGTGTGCATGGACCCTCGGGGACTGTGGTCAGATTTTCGCCCCACTGGAAACCCTAAAGGTTCCCTGCGAAACTGTTTGTCCCTGAGGGTCCCAGGTACCCAGCCAGCAGGTACTCGGGTGTTGGAGAGTAGAAACTGTAGCTTCGGATTCGGAGGAGTATGTGTCTACCTAAACCCTAAACCCTAAACCCTAAAGAGGAGGATGTGTTTATTCGGTACCTGGACCCTAAGGGCGACAGCTGACCTCGCACATGTCTTAGTCAAAGCTGCTATCTGGCCACCTGCGTGAAGCATCCCCAGATAAGACGACCCTACCTAAACCGCTGAAGCCCTAAACCCTAAACCCCTGAAGCTCTAGACTCTAAACCGTTAGGCCTTAACCCCTAGAGGCCGAGAGCTGGACGACTTCTCTGTCCCAAGTCAACTCCTGAACTCTCAGCTTAGGCTTTTGGGTTTGATTGTTCGGGTTTTGGGCTTTTGTGTTTGATGGTTTGGGTTTACGTCCAACCTAAACCCTAAACCCTAAACCCTAAACCCTAAACCCTAAACCCTAAACCCTAAACTGTAGGGCTGAGGGCTCGGGGTTCATGGTGCAGTTCCGGCTCAACGGTTGAATGTGTCGCGGGCATAGAGCCTAGCGTGTACGGCAGCTCAAAGGAATCCCAGATGCTGAACCTTAACCCACCAGAACCTACTTTTTTGGTAGGGTCCCTATTAATTCCATACTCGGGTTTATAATAAGAACCTACAAAAAATATAGGTTTGGGGAGGTTAAGGTAGAACTTATTACAGCCTTTCTGTTCGGAACCGTGCTCCCGGCATGAATCAAAACGCATGGTCCTCTCTGTAATGAAAAAAAAGGGATAAGGTCACCAGGACCCCGTGAACCCCTGCCCCTGACCCCTAAAGCGCCCTGAGTGTAATTTTGGCTTAAGGCCTAGGATCTTAGGCTCACATAAGGTCCGGGTATGTGGCCTTAGGCCCAACGGCTCACGAAGAATTGAAATTTTCGGGGATCCGAAAGCCACTCCAGGGTTGGGCCCCGGTGGTATAGTTTGGTGGTTGCCTTTTTGTGTTTTTGACTATTTTTTGGGGGTTAGGGTTTATTGGGGGTTTAGGGTTTAGGGTCGATCATCCTCCACCAGGCTGCTCAATTTCTTCTTAGGCCCGGGGATGTTCAAGATGTGAGCTTGTTTGCCCAGTAGAGCCCCCTTAATCATGAGGTTTGGTAAGCTCTTACTGAAAAGACGGATGCCAGAACTCAAAGCAACTTGTGAATAAGAGTTTCTCCAGATTGAGGGTGCTGGCGCTGAGCGACGAGCACACAACGATCTGGATTCTTCATCCGCGATCTAACTTGGCCCGACACCCGTTTAGGGTTTTGGGTTCAGGGTCCTAAACCCTAAACCCTAAACGCCTAAACCCTAAACACCCTAAGCCCTGAGCGCCCTAAAGGAAGGGTGTCGGACTAACACCAGCCTTGAGTCCCGAAAGGGTGCCAAGGAAGGGAACCCGAGAGTCGAAACAACGCAAGAAGCCCAACCTTTCCATTGGGAAAAGTCTGGGCTCTAATCAAGAGGAACCATGTTGTTTACTATAGATTCTATATATCCCTAAGTATATGGTAACTTAAGTTAAATTCCCCAGCAAGAACCCAGAAGAGGGTTCTCCCGGCGATGTCCAAACCTGTGCGCCCGGAAAAAAGGCGACGGCAAGCTGAAGCTTTCCCCCATACCTCAAACCTTAAAGCCTAAACCCTAAGCCACCCATCCCTCTCAACCCCCACAGCCGCTGGGTGCCACGCCCTAAACCCTGAACCCCATGACCTTCCAATATCCCTTTTTCTTTAGGGTTATACCTGAAATCATATTGTCAGGGATCCTACTACAATGTAGAATATACTCCTTATAATACGCGAATACCTTAACCCACCAGAACCTATTTTTTTCCATATTAGGGTTTATAATAAGAACCTACAAAAAGAAGGTTTTGGTAGGTTAAGGTATTGGAGGGTCTGGATCCTAAACTCTACTACCCATCCCAAGTTTGGAATCCGTCCGTCTGGTGGGCAGCGGTGCCTTGCAGAATCTTCGAAGCGTCTCAAGGTCGTCGGAGAGACGGTGTCGGTCTGGGGTTTCGGATTTAGGCTAGGCATGGTTCAGTTCAGGTACTATGCAGATTCGAGGATACTCAGCCCCTGAGCAGAGTAGTCTAAACCCGTGTCAGCATGGGTGTTACGGCTTCGGTTCGGTACGGCTGGCGTTGGCTGCGCTATGTTTCGGAGACGTGCCTGTCGGTTCGGTACTGCCACCCACCTCCCACTTCCAAACTCCCACCTCCCACCTCCCACCTCCTCCCACCTCCCAGTCCCACCTCTCTCCAGGTTTAACCCCAAAAGATCCGAAATTGCCCGGGCATCCAACTGCACGCCATTGCCGCCGAGAAGCCTTCTGGTTCTTGGTGTTGACTGGAGCAGCTTCAGGGCTTTCGGCTAGAGATTTAGTAGCCAACTCTGGCCCCCCCAGGTACCTACTATATAGGCTTACTAGAGCCCCCAGGGCCCTATATAGTAGGTACCTGGGGGTTAGGGCAAGTCTTCAATCGGATCACCCGACCGCGCTTCGACGGCTCACGTTGACACCTCTTGCTGCCCGCATCTCATGGCTGAGTATTGTGCCCGTAATGCAGAACTCCCTAATCCCTATACCCAGAGAACCCAATACCCCTTAATTAAGGGATATACCTTAAATTATAGGTGCCTTAATGTTATGATTTAAGCCATATTCCTTAATTGAGGAGTATTGGGTTCTCTGGGTAAACCTCCAAGCTCTCAATGTCAAGCCCACACCGTTACTGCGAGCACAAGCCTTCTGACCCAAAACCCACTCAGCCCGGAAGCTACATGGTCACCCCACAAGAAAGAACCCAAGAGCGTTATATTTTAAGCTTTCCAGGCGGTTTGGCATCTTAAGTCTTCTAGGATTTCTGATTCGCTTTAGGGTTAAATGCTTGAAGGTTGATGCTTAGTTACGGCAGGCGATTTCGGGACAGAGTCTCAGAGTTGGAAACCCTAAACCCTAAACCCTAAAACCCTAAAGCCCTAAAACCCTAAAACCCTAAACCCTAAACCCGCCGACGCCACCTCGGGAACTTTGAGGCGAAGTCGCATGCGCGCCCTGACCGCCGGAGAGTGGGTGTATGGCATTGGGTTTCAGCATTTAAGGGTTTAGGGTTTATAGGGTTTGGGGTTTAGGGTTTAGGTTTTAGGGTTTATAGGGTTTAGGGGTTTCGGGGTTTTGGGCTTAGGGTTTATAGGGCTTAGGGTCTAGTGTTTAGGGGTTTAGGGTGTGTGGCTTGGGGCGTAGAGGTTGTGTTCGAAGAGGTGCGAGGTTTAATTATATTGTATGGTTTGGAGGTGAGGATGGACTGTCTAGTGGGCGGTTTGGGGTTCATTGCATTAACGCAGTAAGCCTGCATCCCTAAACCCTGAATTTAAACTTCTAAACCCTAAGTGAAGCCTAAACCCTAAACCCGGAGTTGTTTAGGTTCAAAGTTTTAAGGTGAGATGTTTTTCGGTTATAATGGTTGGACAAATTAGTTTAGAGTTTTAGGTTATTCAGTTCGCCCTTGATGGGCTTGAGCTTTGCAGCGAGAAGAGACATACGGACACGTTCGGAGTTTCAAAGCTCAAGGTGGGCTGTGCCAAAACCTTGCCGAACACCCACTCTGACCGCCTAAGCCCCAAAACCTTAAAATCTCAGCATCCCACGAACCAAAAACTGCTCATGTTTTAGCGGCCTTTTGGGTTTATATAGGAGCCCTCAGAAACCAACAGCCTAAAACCCCAAAGCCCCTAAACCCCAAGCCCAAAGCCCTAACCCTTAAACCCTAACCCCTCACAACCCTAAAGCCAACCAACGTTTGAGGCATACTTGCTTCGGGAGTTGAGCTTCCTGGGTTAGCTGTTTGAGGCAGATTGATTTCGCGGCTGCGTGCTTGAAGGGCTAGAAGCTCGGCTTCAGTCAATCATACCTCCAGCCCAGCAAACGGGTATTCTCGCAGAGCAAAGTGGCGAGTAAGTTAGTTTCTTGGGGACTATGTAACCCTAAACCCTAAACCCTAAACCTTAAACCCTAAACCTTAAACCCTAAACCCTAAACCTTAAACCCTAAACCCCAAACCCTAAACCCGGCTACTTGGGTCCAATAATCAGGGTTCAGACCCCTTGTAACCCTATAAACCCTTAAAGGCTTAGGGAAGGGTTCAGAGGAAGTACTTTCGGATCGAATTTAAGGGTTTGGACAGTAGAGTACGTTTTGGTGTACCGGGATTTTAGGGTTATTCTT